GGGAAAGGGCTGCAGCCACCCCTATGCCCCCTCTCAGACCAATCTGTGGGGAATCCATGGTTTTGCTTCCAAGTCTCTTCTTCCTCCCTCCCTCCCCAACATCGTCTGAACCCGCACGGTTGTGGGTCTCTGGGGAGCCTGCTGGGGGAGACAGGAGAGGCCAGGTGGCTAGCTAACAGTGTTGTACACTTTCTGTACACTGTGGCAGGGTCCAGCCTGACTCTTGGTTTGTGGCTTATGAAGCTGACTCACATCCTTTTTGGCCAGCCAAACATTTTTTTAAGTCGTGGGGTAGACGTGTTTCCAGGCCCCCAGATGCTGCCCATGTGGGAACCCAACAATTACGGCACCTCAGAGGGGCCAGACTGGGCCCGGGGTGGGGGCGGCTCTGGCTGCCTGTGGCTACAGGGTGATGCCTCATTACCAGTGTCCTCAGCCTGAGACGACCTTGCTGGGAGGCCCATCCCAATTTGAGAGGTAAAAATGTGAAGAATGGGCATCTCGCACACACGAGGGGGGGGTGGTGCTGGCAGGGAAGGGGAGGGTGTGCTTGTTAACATGGGGGATGGGCCTCGCCTTATGCAGACTCCTCCCCTGTCTGGGAGCATGGGTTCCCTGGGGCTTATCTGACTCTGGACACAAGATGGACCTCTTCTGTTAAACAGACATGGGGTCAGAGAGCCAGAAAGACCCTTCATTTTACAGATGGGAAAACAAGCCAGAGAGGCAGAGTCTTACCTCAGAGCACACAGCCCAGCAGAACTGATCTAGAAATTAGGTGCTACCCCCACCCAGCACCCTCCGCAGCCCCCAGTGCTCTGCCTGTGGATTCCTCCTCCAGGCAGCCCTCCAAGCCCAGGGAGCCAGCAGCTAGGAGGCTTAGGGCCCCATCTCCCAGCCCCCACCTGCAGCAAAGGGCAAGAGAGCAGGCTGGGGATTTTGAGAGGAGGCCTCAGTGACCCTTGTCCAGCTGTGGCCCAACCTGAGTTTCAGTTCAGGGAGAGCAGGGTGGGAGAGCTCCGTCCCTGGATGCAATCTGGGGGCAGCTGTTCCCACAGGACCCAAGCCCAGCCACACCCATACCAGGGTAGGGAGAGGAGGGGGCAGGGAGCACCCAGCCCTGCCTGCTAGAGCCAGCGGAGCCCCTTCTGGTGTGTACTGGGACTCCCATGATGTCCTGCCAAGGGAAACCCCTGACACCCCCCTCAAGCTGTGTCCCCGATGGGTAACGATATGTCTGTGAGTGCCATGAGGACGGATCCAAGGCTGAGTCACCTCTGTCCCGGTCCAGCACAGGCCCGCCCTGACCTTCTGCCTGGAGACAGCTCCAAGGATAAGATTAGGTGCTTACTGGTCCCATGGGCAGGGGTGACCTCCCTGGGGGTTCAAAGAACACAACAGGAGGTATAGACGTGTCTCCAGGATGATGTTCCAGCATAAGGGAAGGGTTGTGACAGTCACAAGCCCAGCCCCAAGCCCTGGAATGGGACTTTCCCGCTCACTCCTGGAAACCAGGGATAGGGCAGAAGCTGGAGTTGGTGACCTCAGGGAGGTAGGCGGCCAGGGGCAGAGCCTGGCCTCTGGAGCCAGAGAGGCCTGGCTCAGTCACTAACCTGCTGTCCAGCTGTGCCACCTTGGGCAGGTCTTGTCCCCCTCCGGGCCTCAGTGTCCCCATCAGGAAAATGGGGATTGTGCTGACTTCCCAACTCCCTGGCTGGCACAGTTTATGATTGACTCTTAACCTAAAGAGGAGCCCTGGTGGTGCAGCAATTAAGCACTCGGCTCCTAACCAAAAGATCAGCAGTTTGAACCCATCAGCCACTCCACGGGAGAAAGATATGGCAGTCTGCTTGTAGAAAGATTACAGCCTTGGAAACTCTATGGGGCAGTTCTACTTTGTCCTGTAGCGTTGCTATGAGTTGGAATCGACTCAGTGGCAATGAGTTTTGTTTGGTTGGGTTTATTAACCTAAAGGTTAGCAATTTGAACCCACCTAGAAGCACCATGGAAGAAAGGCCTGGTGATCTGCTTCTGTAAAGATTATAGCCAAGAAACCCCTATGGGGCAGTTCTATTCTGTAACACATGGGGTTGCCATGAGTCGGAGTAGATTCAATGGCACTGGGTTTACCAACTCCCCCAGGTTGCAAAGATTAGACATGATGCCGTCACCACGGTCATTTACAAAGCACCGACACGCAGACTCCCAAGAGCTTTGTGGCAGCCCACCCTCCAGCTTGGATCACGAGGGTCCTGCCATGGGACCCTCACTGGTGAGGGGGTGGCAAAGCTGGGAGCTCAGTGCCAGCGTCCATGCCCTCCAGATGGCAGGCCCCTGCTCCAGGGCAAAGGTTGGCCACTGGCACCATCCTGAGGGGATGGACGGTGCTGGTGTGGACCCTGCCCTGGTCACCAGCTTTCTAGGTGCCGGGCATTCATGCTGAGGGTCTCCCCTGCCTGTGAGTCTCCCCACCAGATTGTCCCCTTTAACCAGTGAGGGGGCTGTGGCCCGGAAAGTCTAGGTGACTGGCCCAAGGTCACACAGCTGCTGAGCACCAGGCACTTCTGATTCCAAAGTCAGCGCTCCCAACCACCACGTCACACTTTCCCCCACCAGGCATAGGGTCTGAGGGGAGGGGACCCTGGAACAGGTGTGGGGGTGGGGCATGGGTTGGTGGTTGGGGTCCTTGCCTGTTCCTGCTGGTAGAAGGAGTGACAGCGTGGCTAGGCCATCCCCAACTTCTCCACCCCCCCCAATGCCTTTCTCCCCACCTCACCCCACCCCCAGCAGCACCCCACCCCCAGCAGCGTACCAGGTGCCCACCTCGAAAGGGCTGCCCCTCCTAGCTGACCAGGCTCAAAGTCCTCCTGAGTCACTGGCAGGTGGGGGCCCCACCTGGCATGGGAAGAAAGGAGGGCGAGGTCCCTCCAGGCCGTGGCCCCACCAGCCCTGAGCAAGAACAAGGCCTGGGGGCCCCTCAGGGCAAAGGGCTCGCATGGTGGGCCATTTTGAAAATTCCTCTCCCATTTGCTCGGACCCCATTTTGCCAAGCACCCCCTCTTGGTTCCCACATCTCCGTGTTTCCCAAGCCTCCAGCCTGAACGGAGCGGGGGCCTCACCCTGGAGACCACTCCAGAGGTTACAAGATATAACCCTGAGGCCAGGGCCAGGGGATCGGGAAAGGCATGGGGCGAAGGTGGCACTTGGCAGGGGTCTTGGCAGCACTGTGAGAGGTTGAGAGGCAAAGGAGGGACCCCACAGAGCTGCGAGCTCCTAGAGCGGGGGTGGGTTTCATTTACTGTTTGATCCCCAGTGTCCAGAACCGGGCCCAGAGTTGAGTGAATAAATGAATGAATGAACAAACGAAGGGATGTGGGTCAGTGTCATTCCAGGAGGAGGGAGCAGAGCAGCATGAACAAAGGCTCAGAAATGGGAGAGTCCCCTGCCCAGGGGGCAAAGATAAAAGTAACAGTAGCCAGCACGGACCGAGTGCTTATTTTCTGCCTGGCACTGTGCTAAGGGGTCTCCGTGGAGGTCTCGTTAAATCCTTACCCCAACACTCTGCTGTAGGTACTTTTGTTTTGCCCATTTTGCAGATGAGGAGAATGAGGACCAGGGAGATTTAGTACTTTCTCCAAGGCCCACAGCTAGGAAACTGTGGCTCTAGGCCTCAACCCCAGGCAGGCCAACTCAGAGCCTTCCAGAAACTACCTCTATACTGTCTCCAAACTGGGGGAGATGTGAGGGCATTCCTGGGGCTCTGGCCTTGGTGCCCCAGGGCCCCACCCCTCTCAGCAGCTGTCCTCACAGCCTCCCCCTTTGCCTTCTTCTTCCTCAGAACTACACCCCCACAGTATTTGAGCGGTACAATGTCAACCTGCAAATAAAAGGCAAACCCGTACACCTCCAAATCTGGGACACGGCAGGTGAGTGCACCAGGGGCTAGGAGAGTGCGCACTGAGAGGAGGGGTGTCCATGGTCCCCAGATGACAGAGAGCCAAGCCCTGCCTCTTCCTGCCCTGGGGAGGCCAACCAGTCTTCAAGGGACAGGTGTCAGCCAGGGCTGGGAGGTCCCTGGCAACCTGCTCTCTCCTTGCTTCTGCACCTCTGTCTGCCTGCCTCTCCCATCCAGGGCAGCCACCGTGTCCTGGAGACAAGGGGGAGTCCAGAGTGCTTTGCTCTCAAGGGGTGGACTGTGTCTGCCCCCCCACCAAAGCGTTCCACCCTGGCTCTAGGCTGGACTGTGTCTGGCCCCCTCAGCGTTCCATCCTGGCTATAGCTTATGTAAGATGCTCCTGACCTTGACTTTGACCTCTGCTTTCCAACCTCCTGACCTTGCCCATACAAGGGTTCAGAGTCAAGTCTATACCAGAGTTCAAAGCTAAGCCCAGGAAATCCCACCAGCTCCCTGATCCTGGGCAGGCTCACATGCCTTCGCCAGGGTCCCTGCCTGCCCCTCACTCTTCACTCCCCAAGCCCAGGGCAGAGCAGGCGCCTGCCCCACCCCTTCCAGAACAGGCCTGTCTCAGTTGTCTTGCCCAGGCCAGGGCTGCCAAGGTGGGCATTCACCCAGTGCAGCCGCTTGTAAGTGCCAGCTTCATGTTGGACCCTGAGGCCCAGGACCAAGCCCTGCCCTCTGGAAGCTCCCTATCCCACCGTCTGGTGGGATGACACTGCCTGATATTGGGGAGGTGCTGACCGTGGGCAGGAGGCCTGGGGGAGGGAGTGACCACCCCATTCTGCCCAGGACAAGATGACTATGACCGCCTGCGGCCCCTGTTCTACCCTGATGCCAGCGTTCTCCTGCTCTGCTTTGACGTCACCAGCCCCTACAGCTTTAACAACGTCTTTGACCGGGTAGGTCCTGGGGAACAGGGAGGCTCAGCCCCCACAGCCAGACCACCTGCCCCACCCCCACGCCTACCCAGCCAACTGTCAGAGCTGGGCTGGCCCGGGATGACGTGGAGTCCAGCACCTTTGGCATATGTATGGGAAAAGTGTGGTTAAGAGCTCGGCTGCTAACCAAAAGGTCAGCAGTTCGACTCCACCAGCTGCTCCTTGGAAACCCTATGGGGCAGTGCCACTCTGTCCTGTAGGGTCGCTGTGAGTTTGAATCGACTCGACGACAATGGGTTTAGTTTTTAGTTTGTTTTTTTTTACGGGGAGACTGAGGCCTGGGGAGCAGCTACTCACCAGATCCCACAGGGATCTGCCCCCCAGTCCAGTGTGCCTCGCACTGCCCTAGTTTGTACTCAGAACACGCTGGCTCTTCACTGTGACTGCTCCCTGAGAGTGCCAAGTGGCCCAGAGGCCCTTGTTTGTCCCCAGCCTGTCCAGACCTGGACGGTGAGGTCATGTGAACTTTCACATCTGATTCTGACGGCTCCCAGCCCCTCTGTGTGACCACAGTGTCTCATCGGCCCCCCAGGACCCCCTCCCTAGTTGTGTCAGGGGTCCCGAAGCTGCCTCTCAGGTGCCAGGGCTGAGGTCCTTTGAGTTCTTGGCTCCAGCCTTGTGACATAGCCCCTGTCGTCACTGCTCTGTGCCAACTGTCTGCTCCAGGGTTCCTCAGAGCACAGGCGGTGATGTGATAATAACAGTGGGTGGGAGCAGAGGTCCAGGGCCTCACCCCCTGGGCTCAAATCCTGCCACTTCCAGTTGTGTGACCAAGGCAAATTACATCACCTGTCTGTGCCTCAGTTCCTTCATCTGTACAATGGGGTTGATTCCAGTTGTTTCCCAGGGTTTTGGGGGATGGATGAGTTTACCCATGTGAAGTCTTCCATCAGAGCCTGGCAAACTACGTGCTTCCTAAACATTGGGTGTGCTGACCAGCATCGCTGGGGTCGAGCCTGGGAGCAGGAGGGTGGTGTAGGACCAGAGTGCCACCTAGTATCATCCCCAATGGAGGGACAGCACTCCTGATGGCCCCCACCCCCGCAGTGGTACCCAGAGGTGAGTCACTTCTGCAAGGAGACACCCATCGTGATAGTAGGCTGCAAGACAGACTTGCGCAAGGATGACTCATTGGTGAAGAAGCTACGGAAAAACGGGTTGGAGCCAGTGACCTACAACAGGGTAGGAAAAACCCGGGCGGGGTGAGGTGATAGGTTGGGGCGTGGGGGTGGGAGCTGGAAGAAGGAACCTCCGAGGTACACTTCTCCAGCCCAGCCTCTCGGCCCAGGTGGCCAGCAGGCGCACATGTGGGGCCCGGGCTGTCATGGGTCAGGAGCTACTAGAGTACTCCAGAAGATTCCACCTGTAGAAGGAAGAGTGAGGTGGGGGGAGTTAGTCCTACCCACCCACTTCACAGATGCGGAACCTGAGGCCCAGAGGGATCACCCAGCTGTCTCTGCAGGGGCCTAGGTTAGTCCGGGAAGTTAATTAGTTGGTGTCTTGAGAGGCACAGAGACCCAGCCCAGAGCTGAGGTAGGAACTGAGGTCGGAGACCCGCAGGAGGGGCTTATCAAGCCAGGGGGCAGGGGGCGGGGTGCCCTGGAAAACTCGCCTCTTACCCTTTTGCCCTGGAGACTTCCAGGGTCAGGGCTGAGGGAGGCTGGATGTAAGGTCTACTCAGTGGGCCCCCACCTCACAGCAGCCCCGTTCACTCTCCCTGTTAGGGCCAGGAGATGGCGAGGTCTGTGGGGGCAGTGACCTACCTAGAATGCTCAGCTCGGCTCCATGACAACGTCCACGCCGTCTTCCAGGAGGCGGCCAAGGTGGCTCTCAGCAGCCGCAGACGCAACTTTTGGCGGCGGATTACCCGGAACTTTTGCATGGTGACCTGACCTGCCCCTGACCATCCCAGCCTACCTCTGCTGCCCACTGGGCTCACAGACACCTGCCAAGCAGCGAGGGAAGGATCTGGAAGCTGACCTTCTGCCACCTTGGCTGGGCTGGACCCAGCCACATATGGTCAGTGACCGTTGAACTGCACCCCAGACAGATGGGCGCCACCGAGGCCGGCCCAGGCCTGGGATCCCTGGACTACTGCAAAGTCTTCTGAGGCTTGAGCAAGAAGTTCCCAGGCCTACCAGCCCTACGGAGGTCTAGTCCTGAAGTCTCCTGGACTCTTTAACAGACTTCCTGGACCGCGCATCCCAGAGAGGCCTGTGCAGCCTGGCGCCACCTGGTGGCTGTTCCCGGACCCTTCCTGGACCAAGCATCTTCGGACTATCCTTTCCAAAATCTGCACCCTGCCCCTTTCCCCTATGCCCTACCCGCCCCAGTGGTAACTGTAAACCTAAAACAGCAGTACATGTCAGGTTTTCCCATGCCTTTTGTTTCAAAGAGGATACTGCCTCACGTAGGCTCTGGAGTGGGGCTGCTTGGATCCAAACTCGGCTTTATCACTTCTAGGACACTGGGCAAGTTACTTGAACCCTCTGGACCTCAGTGTTCTCGTCTGTGAAATGGGACCAGTCACAGGCTACATCATGGAGCTAGAGGGTTGTGAGGACAAACACATGCCAAGAGTGCCTGGCACACAGTAAGCGTTCACAAAAGGTTCGCGAGCACGCCTTTTATTTATTTCCCTGCTTATTTCTGCATCGGTTTCATCATCTCATACTTAATATCCATAACACGGCTGAGAGATAGGAGGCAGCAGGGCAGAACTTATTCCTCCCATTTGTCAGGTGAGAAGACTGAGGCACCACCCTCCCCACCAGCATCAAGCCCGTCTCTTCATCCACTTTCTCATTAATACCCTCAGCCCCCTTGGCCTGCATCCTGGTGTCCCACCTGCCTTGCAAAACTCCACACAGTGTCCCACAGGCCTCTCAGGTCACCATGATGGAACCCCTCATTTCCAGGGAGGTGCCTTATCTTTTCTGGTAACTTCCTCAAACCCCCCAGCCCCGGCAGGCTGCCTAGGGCCCCTCCTGTGTGCCACCTGCAGACCTGCACTTTGGAGCCACTGGGCTTTCAGTGAGTGTCATAATCTCAGCTCTTGTCACAGTGGTAGCACACTAGAAAGCTCTTTAAACCCCAGGATACTGGAAGAATAAATGATTGAGCCCCTGGTCCTCTCAGGGAAGGGGCCTGGTCAGCACCCGGCTTACCTGACATCCTGTTCAGCACGTCACCTTCATGTACAGGACACAGTGACCAGCTTGGCTCTGTTCCATGCAATTCATCCCACATTTCCTGCACACCTCTTCCATGCCCCACACCGTGCTCAGCACCTGCCCAGTATTTTGTCACTTAATCCTCACAGCAACCCTATAGGATGGGCACGGTTGTTCCCAGTTACCCGATTCAGGCTCGAAGAGTATAACTGGCCAGAGCTCAGTGATGGGAAGTGGCAAGGCTGAGATCTGAAGCCAGATCTGCTACTGACTCTAGAGCTGGACACTAATGCAGCAGGCCAGGCTACTAGGGGCTGAACTCGGGGCTGGGGACGAAGAGATGAAGGAGACAAGGCCCCTGACTTGGAGGAAATTGAGGTCCAGTGCAAGCAGACAGATGTACAAGTAAGTCATCGTGAAGAGCATTACTGCAGAATCCTACCGGGGGCTCCAGGAGCACGCGTCTTGGGAAATTAGAGAAGGGGGAGGTCTGAGCGGGGTTTGGCTCACTGGGCTTGGGAGGGCAGGAAGGGGAGAATAGGGAAGGACCTTCCGGACATGCAGTGTGCTTGGGGGAGGATCAGTCAGGCGGGGAAAAACTGTTTCCCACTCCTAGCAGCTTATACTAAAAACCCTCCATGGGGCCTGCAGTCTAGGTGGGGTTTGCCACACAGGTGCCTAATGCTGTTCCACCCACTGCAGCTCAGCTCTGTAACCTGGGTCGTGAGCCTTCACCTGGCCTACATGATCTTTCACCTGGCCTAACTGATCCCTCACCGGACCTAAGTGGCCCCTCACCTGGCCTAACTGATCCCTCACCTGGCCTAAGTGGCCCCTCACCTGGCCTAACTGATCCCTCACCTGAGCTAAGTGGCCCCTCACCTGCCCTAAGTGCCCCCTCACCTGAGCTGTTTCTGATGAAACTACCGTGTGGGGAGGGCAGAGCTGGTTCTCAGTAGGCATCATCTGTATCAGCCTGAAGGAAATGGCCCAGTGCACGTTCAAGGAATGATGTGATGTTCCAGCTGTGCGCTGGCTCAGCGGTGTTAGAAAACATACATTGGGTTTTGGTCAGCAGGCGCTTTGAGTAGGTTCGTGTTGCGCTTTTGCAATATTCAGCTTTGAGTTCCATACTCTGGGGCATGCAGGAGACTCGAGGGGCTCCGGCTGCTGCACCACGGTTTGACTCAGATCAAGCCCCCAAGAAGTTATTCACTCAGGCCAGAGGGGCAGCCGTGGCAGGTGGGTCATAAACGGCCCACTCGGCTTGTGGTTCAGCTGATGGGTAGACAGCTGGGAGGGTGCTCAGACCACAGCCCGGCAGGGGCAGCCCTGGGGTCTCAATCAGGAAATGGCTTACCCTGACTGCTGTAAGGGAGAGCAGGTGCTGGGCTGGGCTTTTTCTCAGAATCACTCAATGGTTTAACGTTTACCCAACCCTCCCCGGGTGCCAGCTCCGTGCTCAGGCATTCTCCACACAGTATCTTATTTAACGTTCTCAGCCCCTGACAGGCTAGGTCCTGTGACTGCACCCACTTCACAGATGAGGACACAGAGGCACAGAGGGCTCTGTAACTTGCTCAAGATCTTAAGAAGAGACAGGGCCAAGATGCCAGTCCAGGACAATCTGACTCCAGAATCCCTGCCCTAGACCCCTGCCCTTGCCCTGGACCCCTGCCCCAGACCCCTGCTCTGGACCTTTGCCCTGAACCCCTGCCCTGGACCCCTGCTCCAGACCTTTGCCCTGGAACTCTGCCCTCCCTGAACCCTCTGGCCCGGACTCCTATCCCAGACCCTGCCCTGGACCTTCTGGCCCACACCCCTGCCCCAGATCCCTGTCCCAGATCCCTGCCCTGGATGCTCTGGCCCAGACCCCTTGCCTGGACGCTCTGGCCCAAACCCCTAGCCTGGCCCAGGCCCCCTTCCCCTGATCCTCTACCCAGACACCCGCCCTGGACCCTATGGCCCAGGCCTCCTGGCCTGCATCCCCTGCCCTCGACCTCCACCCTGGACTCCCATGGGTCCCTGCTCTAGACCCCTGCCCTGGACCCCTGCCTTGTACCAGTACTTCCTGACCCCAAGGAGCGCACAGTTCAGGGAGACCAGAAAGCCAGAAGTCACTCTTACAGGGATTGGAAGAGCCTCACCTGACTCACTCCCCTGGTCCCCACAGCCGTCATAACAATTCTTGACAAGGTGGGGCGAGGCTGTGGGGCCAGCCAGTGATGGCAGCGTGGCAGCTCGCAGGAGAGGCAGCTGGCGGCTCAGAATATGTGGGTGGCTGCGTGGTGCCCCAGGAGCCCAGCAGAAGGGGTGGGAGCTGAAATTACCGGGTTCCCGCCAGGCCTGCACCTACGAGGCAGCATTATGAGGCCCATTTCACAGAAGAAACAAACAAGGACCCGGGTGATAAAGTGACCTGCTGAGGGTCACATGGCCAGAGGGAGGACTGCGCTCAGCCAAGGCTCTCTCACGGTCAGAAAGGCAGGGTCTCTGTGGGCAGGGACAGAGTGGGGGTCAGGGAGATGGAGGGTCCAGAGGCGTACAGAGGTGGGGGTGACAAGAGGGGGAAGAGGGCAAGTGCCTAGCTGGAGAGCGGGGTCCTGCAGGGGAGCAGTGGCATCGGGATGTACACCTTCAGCTTTCCAGCCACCCCTGTCACGCCAAGGGCCACTTCTTCCTTTCCTCTGAGTTCCTCACATTTGCCAGTGTCCTGTCTCCCCTGGCATGCCAACTCCTCAAGAGCGTGCACTGGGTGTGTCTGGAGTCCCCTGTGCACCCTGTTGGCACAGTGGTTAAGAGCAATGGTGTTCTACTGCTGTTAACCAAAAGGTTGGCAGTTTGAATCCACCAACTGCTCCTTAGAAACCCTATGGAGCAGTTCTACTCTGTCCTGTGAAGTCGCTGTGAGTCGGAATCAACTCGACGGCAACGGGTTTTTTTTTATTTTGGTGCCTAAACCAATGCCGGGCATATACCAAAAAAAGAACCATTGCCATGGAGTCGATTCCGACTCGTAGCAACCCTATAGAACAGAGAAGAACTGCTCCATAGGGTTTCCAAGGCTGTAACCTTTATGGAAGCAGACTGCCACATCTTTCTCCCACAGAGCAGCTGGTGGGTTTGAACAGCCAACTTTTTGGTTATCAGATGAGCACTCAACCATTGCACCACCAGAGCTCCTTGCCTGGCATCTAGTAAGCACTAAATAAATATGTGATGAATGAATGTTATAAATAATGCTCCATTTCAAACCTTCACCATTTCTTTCCTGGATTACAAGCCTCCCGGCCTCCAGCCTCTCCCCTCCTCCTCCCACCAGCCCGAGGGACCTTCCAAAGCACAAATCCCACCTTCCCAGCCTTAGCCCCAGGACACTCTGGCCACACCCAGGGGAGCACTAGTGCCCTTTCTGGCCTCCGAGCCTTTGCGCAGACTCTTTTCCCACTGTGGCATGCCCTTCCTCCCAACCACTGCCTGGTCAGCCTCTCCCCCGAAAATCCTTCAGGGCCCAGCTCAGACACCGATTTCTCCAAGAAGCCCTGTGGATCTGTGGGATTACTCATTCCTTCTTTAGTGTGTGTACACACAGGCATGCACATGCGTGCATAACACACACTGGAGCACATGCACACATGCACGTATAATGCACACACATACACGTATACACGTGCACGCATGCATACCTGCACACACACGTGCACACCAAAGCGTTCGTACTCTGCACGGCCTCTTGGCTG